CATTGTAGTAGACTCGCTGGCTTGAGCTTGAGCTGACACGACATCAGGGAATGTGCGTTCGAGATATCGAAGAACGAAGCGTGAGCGTTGGTCCCTTGCATAGTCGATAGGTGACTTTCCAGAAGCATCCTGGACACGTAGATCGCCACCTGCACGGACCAGCATCCCCAACAAACGAGTGTTCTCGTACGAGCCATAGTCGAGTGGCTGTACAGCCATGTGGCACGCTGTCAACCCATTGGTGTTACGCTGAGCTAGTGCTGTCTTCACATTCGCCTCTGGCACGTGAAGAGAGCACACACGGGTAGACGTGGAGGCCGTAAAGACATCCTTCGGGTCCGGTACTGATCGAACGAGTCCAAGTGCGAGACGGGTCTCTGCAACGAGGTTACGTGCTGCGAGATGCATAAGTATCGTGTTGCCTCTGCCGTCAGCAGTCGACAGTTTGGCGCCGTATCGGAGCAAGAGAGCTAGCGTATGGTATCGCGTCGACACGTTTGGAGTGATAGCAACACGTACAAGTGCCGGCATCTTGTCAGCGTCTCCTTTAGCTAGAGATGTTATCTCACAGAGCTCACGACCAGACCGGAATGGCTGATCCTTGTCTTCCTCTTCATCAGTTCTCTCCCTGCGCTCCAATGTAGCCGCATGCGCACTGTGGAAGCTCAGATTAGGATCCACACCGCATTTAAGCAGCTTCTCCAGCATCGAGAAGAACAGAACAGGCTTCGACTCGGCCAAACTTTCCGTAAAGCGATCCACAAACGCACCAAGAACGTTCATCCCCGAGTTGTCAGCCGCATGGATATCTAGCGCATACGACGGGTGTTCCAAGAAGTAGCACAGCACCTTGAGTAGCTGATCGTCACTTAATATATTGCCACTGTGTTTTTGCTTAAGAGCGAAGAGAAGTGGAGTCTCACCCACGTGGTTCTTCACGTTCTCACTGTTCACGCCTCCATTCTGGTGGTGTAAGAAGTCCATCAAGTGTGTATTGCCACGTTTCGACGCGTAGTGCATTGCAGTGTTGCCTTTGGCGTCTTGTGCATCGACACGTACTCCTGCATCCACAAGTGCCCACGCTAACTTCTTGGCGGGAGTGTCGAAGACAGATTGCTTTGTCTTCGCCAACGAGTGCAGCAGAGTCTCGCCTCGTGCATTAGGACGCATTAGAACCTCCATCCCGCCATCTGATCCCAATTCCAACACTCCAAGAAGGTTGTGGGCGAGCTGGAATTGTCCACACCTCACCGAGTCTTCGATAGCTTGACGACGGCAGAACTTGGCACTTAGTAGCATGTGGCAGATACCAGTCAGTCCGTTGCTCACAGCATGGTAAAAGTAGCTCCGTGTCTTGACCTTCGGCTCCTTCTTCGACGCATTTTGTCTCTGCCAAGACGACGCTCCATTACTCGCTTTCTGAACAATACGAAGCGTTCCGTCCACTGCCGAACCACTACGCAGCAGCGTCATGATGGTGGTCTGTCGTTTATGCAGCACAGCTAGTCCAAGGGGCGTGAATCCGTCCTGATCCTGTAGATCCATGGCATCTTTCTGCTCCTTGGGGTCACAAGACGAAGCCAGAAGCGTCGACACACACACAAACGCTCCTGTAGCCGCTGCGAGATGCAGTGGCGAGCGTCCTAGCACGTCTTGCGTCATGAGACCTCGCTCCGTCGCCAGATTTGACACTGTCTCCACCGGATCCGTCTCACCTCCTGGGATTACACCCAAATGATCATGTAGGAAGGCCTCTCGCTTTTCAGTCTCGTACAGCTTATCGTCTTGCATTTGTCCTTCGCGATCCTTCTGTCCCTGCATCTTCTTGCGGCTCTTGTCATACTTCTCTTGCCAATCCAAATCCACTTTGATCAGAGCGAAATGTAGCGCACTGAAGCCGAAATCATCTTGGACGGTCACATCAGCACCACTTTGGAGAAGGAAGCGTTCGACAGCGAACGATGCGTCGGCACTCATGGCTGCCGCGTTCACAGCGTAGTGCAAGGGCGTTCGCCCAAGCCAGTCGCGTCGGTTTACAGCGTTACGAGCTCCATCCTTCCCTGCCGCACGAAGTAATGCCTGCAGCAGCTCGAGATCACGGTTGCGCGCAGCATAGTGGACTGGAGATCGGTTCTTGGTATCGCCAACAACGACCGCTTGCGGGGCACTTGCGTCCTTCAACGCCACTAGGATAGCCGGCTCCACAGCTTTCAATGAGACGCCATTCTGGCTTGTCTCGGAAGGAATAGTGACGGAAAACGGGTTGGTATTAGCGGGAATTGCACGCCCACTGGGGAACGACTGCGTGATCTCCACACTTGAGTACAAGACTTCTCCATCATGAGCTTCCTTTGCAGGAATAGAGTGTCGTGCAACGACAGCTAGAT